CTTAAAATTAATATTTCTTTTCATTATATTCTTTTATTTAGTTTTAATTAGTAAACACATCATACATAAAAAAAAAATGACTGACTTAAGAGTTATGAAAACCAAGCTTAAAATAAAGTAGTTAAAAATGGGGTACCCCATTTTAACCATCTCTTGGGTACCCCATTTTAAACAAAACTAACAAGTCACACAAAATATTTTCTATGAAAATTTAGATTTGATGATTTAACTTGGAATTTTTTAAAAACAAAGCTTATAAAGTACTAAATTAATAATAATAATTAACTGTTACAAATATCCGAGAGGAGACCATAAAAACGTGAATCACTGACAGTGAAATAGTTTCTACACTACACGCTAAAAGTTCAATTTTTTTTGTGATAAGAATATTTGATTTAGAACAAATATTTAAACATCACGTCATGTTTTGATAAGCCTTGTATTGATAATTTACGATTTAGTAATCATCAATCGATTCCAGTGTGACGAATAACAACCTATACCCTGTTTTACCCGACTACCCCATTTTACCCACCTTTCCCCTACATATTATTAATTATTATAATATTTCAGTTTAATTGAGCATATAAATTTAATTTTGATTTGTCCGGCGCCACTAAGTGTTAAAATTTAAATGTCAAGTATTGTTTTTTTTTTTTTTTTTGTACAAAAAGTTTTTTCTATTTTCAAAACTGAGCAAGTTAAAGTAAGTCAAAAATTGGATTTATGCTTAATTCGTGTTCATTGATATTTTCATTTATAATCACTAGAAATAATAAAATAAGTGTATTATAATTAAACATTATTTTTAGTGTATGGTATTTCGTCAACTGTATTAGTTAACTGTACAACAAAATAGTTATAATGATAATAGTAAATAGTAATATTAATTATAATAAAAAATAAAATTTATTAAATAAATTGTAGAAATAAATCGTATGAATTTTTCGAAGATTTCGCCATCATCTTATAAACATGATTTCAGTCATCCTAAAAATTCAGTCGAAGTTGTTAATTTATGGTGAGGGTTGGTTGGTGGAAATCTAATAAGACGGTCCTTTTATGATGTTACGCTTAATGACAGACTATATTTTAATTTATTAACCAACGAACTTCTAAGACTATTGGATAATGTTTTATTAAACACACGAAAACTTATGTTTTAATAATATTATATGCTATAATATGGATTATGGAGCATCATCCCGAAATCGTGGATTCACGGAATCATGATATGGAATCATGTTTAGAACTGATTGCGAAAACTTCGAACAATTCATACGACAAATTTATTTAATACATTTTATTTTTAACTATAATATTATTTATTAATATTACTATTATCAATTATTATTACTACTTACACTATTTTGTTGTACATTTAATTAATACAGTTGACGAAATATTATACAATAAAAATAGTATTTAATTATTTCACACTTATTTTTTATTTTTTTTTATTTTATTAATTAAAGGCTTCAAATACAAAGGTTTATTAGCCTACAGTGGTGACTTATTTTATTATTTCCAATGGTTATAAATGAAAATGTTATTAAACAAGAATTATGCATAAATCCAATTTGTGACTTACATTAACTTATTCAGTTTTCAAAATAAAAAAAAAACTTTTTGTACAATAAATCTTATAAAACAATACTCTACTCGAATCTGTAGAGAAAAAAATTGAGTTGTCATTTAAAAAAAAGTAAGTTGTACTACGCATGCGCGTACCGAGAGGAATAAAAATTTGATATTGGTCTGAAAATATGTATTAAGTACTCCTTAGTCCCTATCACTTCCCAAAAACTCCATTTCAATACAAGGTCACCCAGCTGAGATATTTACACTATATATATGATAAGGTAATTTTTAAACATTTTTAGTGCATATTAAAAAATATATATATATATTAGTTTAAAATTAAGTAGGTAGTATAACTTACTATAGAATACCTATAGGATACAATTATATAGGTTARGAAATTTTGTTTGTGTTTTATGCAATGTTCTACATTTTGTAAAATCATTCCTGTACAATTTTATACGATCTACTTACGGGGTTATGGTACATAGCTACCGAATGTATTAAAAAAAAAATCTTTAGAAAATAAATAGAAATTGACAAACTATCTCAGCTTGGAATCATTTTGTTGTTTAAAATAATTTATCTATACAATAATTCAAATTTAACACTTTCGTATCAACGATCTAGTCAATGAAGAGGTTTACTCAAAACTTAAAATACTATTATTATAATAAGATGATATGTTTAATAGATAACTATTGTATGGTATTATATGCGAATACGCAGGTTATTTCTGACAARATTAGCTCAGCCTATACCGTATCACCAATATAAAGATAAACGACTAATAGTAGTATAATTTAATGGTAAAATATAGTTGAATGTATATAGGCTGACAGACCGTCTATAAATCCACCAAACACCGTTTTTTGTATGCAATAATTCATCATAATTGAGACCAAATTAATTATCTATTAATAAAGTTACCAAGGAACTGAATAACGACGTTAAATAAACTATCCTACTATACAGCAGTACAAGTTCACCAATTTTTTGTTTTTTGTATAAATGTTTAGTGATTATTTAAAATAAACAAAAATWATTTATTTATTTTAATGTAATGATATCAAAAACAGACTGTAATACTTAATTGGACAGCAAATTGTTGAACGTATAATAGGAAATATAATATATAGTGTTCACTGTAATATCAATTACAATTCAATTTTTTTACTACTCAATTCCAAGTAGATAATACCTATATAAATATTAGGTTTATCGTATATACATACTAAAACAATGACATTTTAATAATACTACCCAGAAATTATATAATTATGATTGATTTGTTGAATGTAGTTCAAATTTTGCAAATGCCATGAACAATTGTTTTCCTATACCTACATACATTAATACTTCATTGAACTATATMTAACTTTAAATACTTACAACAAATTAACTACCCGCTCAGGATATAGATCATATGTTTAATAGTTCTCACAGAAATTCCCTGGTTAAGCACATGAATTCATTTAGGATATATGCAAATTTAATGTTTTGTAACTTAAAGGACAAAAACCTTTTTAAAAAATATGATAGCAATTAGATAAAATTGTTTTCAAAAAAATTCTTATAAAATTAATTCAAATTTTATAATTTAAAATAATTTAATTTTAATTTAAAAATAAGTATTTTTAAAAACGGTATTACTTTTCTTGGTGTAGAATGTTTACTGTTAAAATAATCACCCAGTATATGAGTATAGGTACCTGTGTTTGAGATAAGTAAATAGCTTATCAACTATCGATGTTTAAGGTTCATAGTTTACGCATAAAAACTGACAAAACATTGTTACTGAGTTTATTACCAGTGGGCAGTGTTTATGAGCCAAGTATCGCTTGCTATTTGAAAATAAATCAATAAAAATGGTGAACATTAAAAGTCACAGTTTGAAATTCGTGTTTTTCCTATTTTGCTTGTCACAGGTATGTTAAACAGTGCATTAAACATTTAATTATTAAATATAACTGTTTTATTTTAAAATTTACATAATATCAATGTATATTCATTCGACATGTATCTATAGGTACAAGCTGGCACAAAACTTCTTCCTGAAAAAACAGACAATCCATTTGATGAATTATTCAGAGAGATCTCCAAGTCAGTCACCAAGGTTACCGAGAAGATCCGATTAAGACTAACGGAATCTGAAGTCCATGTCGATAAATATTTCGATAATTTAAAAGAAAACGCCGAAAACACAAATGAACAATTCCAAGAAGTTCTTCAAAAGGTTAGTTTAATTTTTTTTATTTATTCACTTGAAATCAGAACATTTACAAAACATTTAAAATGCTCATGAAGAGTAAATTTAAAAGTAATCGAGGTTTGAAATAGCTGTGCGAGAATATTTAAATTATTGTATGTGTAATAGCCAATACGTGAAATTAAAATACAATAAAAG